TCTTATAATTGTTTGTTCAACTACAAATATTTTTAGAGACGAGTGTAAGTTTTTAAATACAATTTATAGGTTCTTCGGTTTTTTTTTTCTTTTTTTTTTTTTTTTTTTGTAACAAGAAAATTAAAAAGTCGAACTTAAGCATAACTTAATATTAATAATAATAATAAATGTTTTCTTTTTAAAGTGTAGTTTGGGAAAGTTTAAAAGAGTTTATGAACAACGTTTAGAGAAGATAAGATGCATTTTAATTTTTCCCTTCTTTATATAAGAGGTCAAGAACGGTTCTTCTTCTCTTTTTTTAAACTATTTGTTTTTTTTTTTTTACTGCATTATATTTATTTGTAAATTATTTTTATAGTTTGATTAATTTGTTTTTGTTGCTTTTTCACTATTTTTTGTTAATCAATTGATTTTTTTTGTATTTTTTTTTTTTTTATTATGAGGCTATTTAATTAAAATCGTTAGCCTACAAATTATTTAGAACTTTTTAGTAAAAACACTTTGCTGCACTAGCAACAAACCTGTAGTAAATATATTAATATTTACCATAGCAGTTAATTGCTAACCACGTTTATAATATCGTCAGCAATTTCTGTTTCGCATTTTACAAATTGTTTCGCCAAGCTTTTATTGTGATCAACATAATTACAAGATTGAGCGGATAAATCCCCGCATAACGCGTGATTTATTTCCAAATATTCTTGGTTTTCTTCAGGTAAGGATAAAGTAGTGGATGGTATTGATGCTCGCTTTGACATATTTTCAGAGTTCAACTTAATATTAATACCTTTAGCCTTTTCTCCTGCTGTTATAGTTGATAGCTCTTCATATATGCCTTTCGACTCTAATGAATTATTATCATCAAAAGCATCTTTGCTATAACTCTCGCATTCATGTCCGTTAGCATTTATTTCATTGCCCAATTGTTCCTTTTGGCGTATTACAGCATCTTGCATTGCCTGCTTTTGGGTTACAGCAACCAATGCTGGTGAGCTTTTGTTACGATTGCATTGCAATAAATCGTTGATTTCTGTGAGATGCGTGGAACTCGCCAAGGGTGTACTTAAACTGATAAAATTAGTTGTTGCTTCCGTTTCCATTGTACATACAAAGGACTCGTTGGACAAGGGTGGATAAGATGGTGCGGTGGTTGTTTCGAGTGTTGTCATTTGACTGGTGTTGGTAAACTCAACTACTGACGATTCTGTAGTAGTAGCTGTACCGTAAGGCCGATCAGAAGGCATAGAACAAGAATTAAAAGTCGTCGGTTGCGTGTCTAACAAATTTGTACCATTCATACTTATATATGGAGCAGCATCGGGGTAGGAATTGTATGTGGAAACCTGTAAAAAATTTAAGGAGGCGGGTAAGGAACGATTTTCCTCCAATAATAAGTGGTACGTAAGCAATAAAAAAGAGCGTGTTTTTATTATAAATTAAAACCTACCTGTGTTGCAACGTTTCCATAATTCGTGTTATGATACGTCGATACCGGTATCAAGTCACCATACCCCGTTGTGACGGATGTTGCGCCTGCAAATAAATTATTATCGATCAAACTATCCACACCATATTGACTCAGTGGTGTTGTCGAAGTTGGTAAAGCATTGCCCACACTATGCGCAATTACATCTATTGCGGCTGTGTGGGGGCCGTAAAGATGAGCAGTATTGTTTCGCTGTTGTTGCTGTTGGTAAAAATCGTTTGCTGGAACTGTCTGTTGATTTTGGTCCATTGCATTGTAGGCAGGAGAGGCGTACCCGGAACTATAATTCGATTGTGGTTGCATATGAGATTGATAAAAATTAACGGGAGAAGCGTTTGTAGTGGAGGAAACGGTGGAAGTTGTTGATAAATTTACATGATAAGGGTTCTGGTGTTGACGATTTTCCATCTCAAGTCGCATTAACGTATGTATGAAATGCGTGCGCACTCGAGCCGGATTAAATTCTACACGACCGACCGTATTACCGCAAGCATCGCGAGAACATCCACAGGGAAACATATCACGATCCACCTAAGATATTAAGAACATTTTTTATTTATATATTGTATTACCTGCTGTAAATTACTACTACTCTTACCTGACATTTTATACCCGATTGTGAACACGAACAAGTTTCTGGATCGCAAAAATCACGACATGTACAACCGCACACTTCACGTGAATTCCGTATATCACGACAATCAACCTTTTCACTTGCATCAATTTTTCGGATACCAGCAGCTTTTAACAAAGCCCGTCTTTGCTTGGGTGATACCGGTTGCAGGAAGCCACTAGATTCGGCATCCAAATCTGAACCGCTTCCCTCACTCAAATAATCTTCCTCGGACTCTTCGCTGTCGTCACTGGATGACCCCCGTGGATTGATTTCTTGCAGTTGCATTCGATGCGCTCTTCTTAGTTCTGCAGCATGTTCCGCCAGTGTCATGGTTTTAAAAGCCACATGATGTGCCGCCATACCCAATGTACAGCCACCAGCAGAAGGAACACAACTGAAACCCTGTTGACGGGGAAAATAAAACACCTGTACCGTGTTGAAATTGATAGAACGCTTCGGCTTCTTTTGCACGGACGAATGCGAGTCGGTTAAACGCCTACTGCCTCCCGTCAGATCGTGTAGACCGACATCATCGTCATCATCATCATCAACTGCTTCCAGGCGACGCTTTAAATTAGAACGCTTCGGCTTAATCGATTCCCGAGCCGCTGCAGATATTGACAAAACATTTTTTGGTTCATTCTCAACTTTTGTAATTGATTTCGATTTTTCTGCTAAAGTAGAAGGCCCCGTGGAAGGCGAGGCTGGTTGACAGGTATCACTCAAATTGCTTACATCAATTGGCAAAGCAGTTGTCTCACTGCCTAAGCCCGAATCTGAACCTTCTCCTCGCTCATCGGTAGGCGGTACTTTATCTGTGCTTGATATTGTTGCCGTTGACAACAATACGTCTCTGCCTTTTTCCGCATCGACTGAAATATACTGATGCTTAGCTTCGTTTTCCAACCAGCATTCAAGGTCGTCTTCTGTAGTAACGGTATTAAAATCATCATCTGCTATTGATGCGGTGCTAGCGTTCAGTAAATTTAACTCTTTTAGAGCAGCTGAACGATCTACGGTAAATGCGTGTTCCTCATCATTGACTATAGCCAAAGGGTCATCATTGATGGATGATTCTGATATTATAGATGAATTTAGCTCGTCTTCACCCACCACAATTATTTCATTATCTATCAGGAGAATTAGAAAAAAAAAAGAAAAGAACCTTGAGTGTAGAAAACATAAAAATTTCTTGCGCGTCTTGAACTTACTTGGAAATTGCTCTATATCTAAATATGGTTCCTCTGGAACTTCGGATAAATTACTAAAAGCCATGGTCGAATTATTACTTGTCAGCTCAATTAAATCTCCTATTTTTGCAGTTGTATCAGTATGTTCACCTTCAGCCAAATCCGTGAAATCAGAGATGGTCATTTGATGATCTATATCTTCTGTGGGATCATGACGAAAATCTTCCAACTCATCGTCCAGCGATATTGCCGTAGACGGGTGATTGCAATTGTGCTCGCGACTAATAACAATACTGGAGGCAACCGGGGGTTTTGTTATATTTAATACATCAACTGTATTGATGGTTATATTTGAGGCGATATCACTAGCATTGTCTTTTAATGGCTTCTTTAGCATAATACTACTTTTTATTTGTGTCTCTATGTCGTCCTCATCAAAATCTTGGTTGGTATTTGTTGACGTTAGCAAATCTGAACAAGTAATATCAGCAACTTTTGAAGTCTCCACTTCCTCTTCGTCTTCTCTGCCCCTATGCGTAGGAGAGATTGCTTTTATGGGAACTGTATCGGTCGATGTAACATTTACATCGTCCATTTGCGCAGATGATGTAACTTTGATTGAATTCATTTCCCTTTCAGATGTTTCTTGTGAAGCTAAGGACGACGTATTACCACCAAATAGCGAACTACTGCTTGCATTCCTTTGTAAGTATGTTATAAAATTCTTTAAGGGTCTAAACATTCTTATTCTAGGATTGATCTAAAAGTAAAAAGAAACACGATAATATATACATATATATATATATATATAGATAGTTTAGGAGTTTATTAAACACATTTCACTTATACATAGCAAAGCATACTTCCTTTACTCTAGTAATAGTTGACAACTATATGTGCATCGAATGTAAGTGCATCTGTATTATTGTGCGGCTTTATATGGAAAAATGTGTTGCTCGTTTGACGAAAAACGTAACGTTACGAAGATTGCATAATTATCATTACGAGACTCGTACACTCTGCCTTGCAAAGTCGAAAATATTGTTCGAGTAGATATTTGATAAGGTTGACAAGACGGATCCACAGCAATTGAAATTGTTTTAAGAAGTAATCGGACCTGGGGGAAATTTTGCTAAAATGATCTGAGTTACGACGTTCATCAAAATTAATTTAGAATTAGCAGACTTAGCTTTTCGCATCCTACTCTGCAAGCAGAAAAAATTTACCCACAATGTCGTTTAAAATTAATCCACCAGGTCGCGATGTCTACCACATTTTTTTCAGAGTTAATGTATTTTTAGGCGGACAAAGGAATGTACAAAATAGTTGTACGCGTTGTGTCCGTTTCACCTTATGATTAATAATCATAAAAACTCAAAAAGTATTACTTGTAACTTTATTTCCATTTTTGTACATAAATAGTAGCGTTTCGTAAAGTAAATGTGAAAAATTTCAGCTTTCTAGCTTTTATAATTTCTAAGTAATAAGACAAAAGCTACAAATTTTTGTTAAAGAAAACAAAGTTTCGTTCAGATTATGCTCCACTGCGGGCTTCTGCTGTGACGAATTTGGCCCATTTTCGATACCAACCTGCGCGCGAAAACTTCCAAGGTTTCTGCCAAATTTGAAGTCGATGTCATCATTTTTGCGACCAGGAGAGTGCGAACAGCAAAACCCCCACACGGACGGACAGAAATGGTTTAATCAATTCAAAATTTCATGCTGATCACAAGAATATTATATGCTTTATACGGTCTCTGAAGCTTCCCTTTGGGTGTCACATAAATTATGAAAAAAAAAATAAAATAAAATAAATAACTATACCCTCACCCTTTAGCGGTGGGTGTAATAAAAGAACTTGGGAAAAAGGTTCTTGTCTTCAATCATGGAAATTTTTCCTAGCATACCGAATTACTATAACCAATCTACCTAAATGTAATACAACATAAAAAGCACGACGCAGACACATTACATTCAGAAAGGCCCAGAGAAAAAGTTTCTGAAATGAACGCGGATAAATCACGAACGATTAAGGGAGATTGAGCAAGAGATTTAATCTTTAAATTGAAGTGAAAACAAGTGAAAACATTAGTTGGCCACACATCCTTACCATTAAATACTCGACATCTCTTCGCTCTATACATTTATATGGGAAGTAGTCAAAAAAAGTAATCCGGTTCGGATTACTTTCATTAGCATTCGACTGTGGCCAAGAAAGCGTCGGTGCGGTCGCCGGTAAATTTCATGAAAATATCTCTGAAATTGCGATTGCAGCTCGAACAAGAATAAGTGGACAGGCATCAGACAGAGGAGAAAATGCACAGACTGACAGGTAAGTTCAAATCCATTCAGAAAGTGTTTCTGAATCGACAGGGGATATAAAAGATGAGTACACACAAACCTAATATATGCTACATCGGGTGCGAGTGTGAGGTACAATTAGTAAGTGCTTATTTTCCACGATGTCTATAAGTGATTCTTAACGGATTGAAATTAGCATCAAACGCACTTTAAGAAATATATAACCAATTCGATATAGCGGAAGGGGATTTCTATTGTTATTACGATTTTCCTCAAATGCCCTCAACAGCATTTCTCTTTTCTTTGGGACTAGAATTAATGTTATATGTTATATGTTTGTTTGTTAAAATTCTCAGATCAATTATGAAGATTTGTTATAAGAGTGTTTGTGTAGAAGTATGACTCGAAATAAGTAACTTACGGGATGATATACTACTAAAGGTAGCATCAAATGTGATTGATAAATTGATTTTACACAATATCATATAAAATTTGAAGGACGGGTTAATTCTGAAGCTTTAGATGAATTTCACATAAATGCTTATTAACTACTAGACTCCACACCTTCTCCAACTAGTAAAGAGTAAATACTAAAACTTCAGTTTCTTACCTGCTTTTATATGCAGTTGTTACACGAACTTTATCGGCTGAACAAACTTCACCTTTCTATTTTAATTTGATTTTTTTAAGTTGTTCTTAATCGCTATGCAGATCCGAAAACGATATATTTCATAAGATAAGTCTGCACGAAAACTACTCGATTTTCTTAACTAGAAACAATGATTCGCAAGACATTTAATAGATAAAAAAATTAACAAAGAAAAATCTTCAAAGTGAATTCATTTCTGAGCGATTTATTTTTGAAAGGATATATGAGCAAAGTATGTGCTAAAGGAACACAACTGAATTGTGATATATATATTTGTGATAAAGAAGAAACTTTGAGACGCTGTAAATATATGCTGTGCAAATAATTTCTCTTGATCTAGAAAACACTATCCTTTGATACGAACCAATCAATATCTTTCAGGTATTAGGATAAAAACGTTTGTTGATAAATTGGTTTCTCCTGCCCAGATCTTTTAAGTATTGTAAATAAAATCTACCTTTGATCGAGATATCATAGTCCCGTGACACGGACCTAAATCTTAGGGATATTAGGAGAAAAAAATTGACTCATAAATTGATGTCCCATTTTTTTTTAGTCAATTGCAACCGTCGATAATTAAAAGCCAAACAATATTTTACAATAAACCCTCATTGGTCTACTTGAACGAATTGTAACATAATCCCAATTTATTGAAGACTTTCGTATGTTTAAAAAATTCAATGAAAATCAAATTTTTCGTCAAATGTTTGCCATAAATAAAGGAAGAAGGAAGAGCATAGACTATACCTTTGCAGAAAATTAAGAAATCAATTGATTCCATCTATTTAATAAAACTCGTCTTCTTTAGGCAGCCCTGTGATGTATCAATAGAAAGTTGGAGATCTATATCTGCTTTAAGAAAAGTTCGATTTTCCTTATTCTGTACATTAATCTAAGCGGATTACCCGCTTTCTAACCTAGGTTAGGTTTTCCTTATTCTGTGCACTAACTTATAATTTAATCCACACTCGTCAATAATGAATATATCGTTCTTTTTCGACCATTATCGATTCGAAAACGATTGAAATCACGGCAGGGTTAAACAGATTAGAGAATAGACAGAGATTTCTAAAGGGACTATCACAAATTGAAACGGCCTGTCTTCAATGATAATAGACGACTTGAAATTTTCTATGTGCACGTAAATAGAAGTACTTTAGTTCTCTCCTTATCGTGATAAATTGTTACTTCTTGATTTGTAAGTAACGGTAAGTACAAAAGAGAAAACCACAGCACTTATCAGTATTTCAAAAAAACATGTCACCGTTTTAGCGCCACGCCATAGTACCAAAATATAGTATAAACATCGATGATAATTTTTTAATATACCATTAACCACATCACATGTATAGTATGTATAGACCTCGTATGTACCTTTCAGCAAAAACTATTTATCATCATAGCCATGCTTGTCAACACAAACAATTGCAACTATTGTTATCATCGCTATAGTGATTATTATGTAATTTAGGCATAATCCATTGCATATATAACTAACGTGCAACATTAGCATAGTATAAGGTTTCTTAAAACGTTTGGATTAAACAACGTATCTCGCGCTACGCTAAATTGTTTTATGTATTTATGTTTTATAAAATAGGCATTTAATCCATTATCTACGTAACATTTGTATTTGTTATCATAAATTTTCATACAAATTGTTAATCACATTTTGTACGTGTTCATAATCGATTCTAGACGTTTGCCGCGTAGCTGCGCCTCAAAGCAGATATCGCTTTAAAATACGGGCCATGGGTTTCTTAGATAGTATCGAATGATTTTCAAAGGCAAAATATCTCAATTCGTAGGATGACCGCAGTTCTTTCTTTTATGGAAAGGAACACGTATGCATGAAGGTGACGAAATTCTTTAGAGCCCAACTTATGGTACTAAGCAGCTTATCTTTCATTTACGGCAAATATTTTTTGTTTTCTTTTTTCACACTCATATGTTTTCACGTTTATTGGAAGAGAAACTTCTTTTATATCATAGTGTTTGGAAGGCTCTCTGGAATGCCTTTTTTCAAAACAAAGAACCCTAATTCATCTTTTACGAAACGAAGAATATGTGCGCAATTTCTGCACTAAAGTATAGATGTTGAAGTTTGAAGGTGCATCCTCGCTTTCCTTATTTTTTTTTATTATATTTTGCTGTTCTCTGTGGTTTCTGTTGACAACTTAAATTTTCAACACGTGTGTGTTTTTTGACCAAATCGCTCTTCATTGCTGCTATAGGTTACAGTCTTTCAAATCTAACGGGCTTTTTGTGGAAGGTTCTCATTGACGTTCATTTTGTACGAGGTGTTTCACTTATGAAACGAACAATTATGTAGCGTAAAAAGAATAGTGTGGGTGTTGTGGTAATAGATTATATGCGCCGTTTTCATAGGGACTGATTGGTTCAAAGGCACACCTATGGGCGGTTATACATCACGTTGAGTCTTGCCGAGAGGCCAAACTATCGCGATTGCTTTAAACGATGCTCTCTTATATCGTTCGGTCGAACGTATCCGACATGTACTTTCAGCGAGGTGTTGCAATATGCCATGAATCAAAGTGTTGACCTCATGGTATTGAACTTCGCGAAGGAGGGTTCATAATAAAAAAAGGCTTTAATCCAGCTTAGACGACTTATTTAAAAGTTGGTAGCAACAATAAAATGTAATCCAATTAAACTAAACTCTATAGACCTATTCAAGCTGTCTCTCGGAAAGTAGGCGGCAAAACGTTAATATATTGACTTTGATGGGACAATATTCCTAGTCCCTACAGTTTATTATGCTTGATTGTAACCAATAAAAATTATTGTCTGAATTAAGGCGAAAATGAGGGCGCTGCCATCGTCATTATCGTTGCTTAAGACGTGTAAGGAAAAAAGAGAAAAATACATGCCGAAATATAAAGTGGCTTGTTGCTCGACAACCGGAGTAAAAATACCGACACATACAGTAGTTCGTAGGATTTTGCAGAAATTTGAGACAATTAATTAAAAAAAAAAACGAAAAGAATTACTTACACAATTCGATTCTCCTATTTATAAATCTAAGAATTTCTTTTAAGGATGCCAGGATTACTTCGCCAACATATTTTCCTTTTTTGATTTATACTCGTATTTTAAAAATTTCCTAAGATTGATCTTTTGCACATAAGTGATGCATTTATATTCTTTTCAAAATTTTATTGAATTTCTTTAGAAGAAATTGACAACAAATTTTTCTTTATCTTGGTTTTTAATCAATCAAGTTTTTCTCCTGATTATTTCTTATTCACCGATTTACGTGACTTTTATTTCTTCGTTTTTGCATCTGAAAAACTTAAACTTTAGTTGTATTCATTCGTTTTTTATTTGTCTGTGTTTTTTTTATTTTCTTCGATATAATATATACTTTATATTTTGAACGTCCTTTTGTGAAAAAAACGAATAATAGTTTTATGAAAAGCAATTTTCTTAATTGAAGTTTTCTTCCAACCAATTTCAGTAAATTATTTACTTCTTGCTGTTTATCTCTATTTCTTTGATTCTATTTGTTTTCTATGTGACTTTTATAGGGCTGCCAAACTTTGACATTTCGTCATGGGAATGTAAGCAAAATTTTTCAGGGAGTTTGCAAATAAGTTCATGGTATTGCCAGAGTTTACAGGAAGTAGTAGAAGTGTTGAAATGAAAAATAATACCAACAATTGAAACCGTTTAAAAATGTTCTCTTGTGAAGGAAAATAAAAATTTTTATGACTTCAAAAGCTTTAAAATTTACATATTTGCTAAGAAAAAGGATCAAACGCGTTCTTGATAAATATATATAAAACTATTATAAATAAATGCTTAAGAATTTAGGCAGCTGCCACAATGAAGCATCATTTCCATTTTTGAGTTAAGACTCCAAGTTCGACTTTTTACAAAATGTATGGGTTTTAACAAATCATAGGGTTTTGCATGTATACATACAAATAAAACAAAAAGTAAAAAAAGCACAAAGAGAAATTAAGATCGTTTTTTTTAAATTATTATAATGTTATATAAACTTGTTTACCTAATTTACGTTTAACTGCACTAACGTACATTTTTTTTTATATTATGTGATTTGCAATTTGGTAAAAAATTAAAAACAAGTAGCAGGTTATTTCGAAGTTGAAATAGTTTTATTAGAAATTAATACACAAAAAAAATCTCAGTGGTGTTACAAAATTTGTGTTTATTATATTATTTTTGTTATGTTGTTCTCTGAAACAATTTGATAGCGCCGATTGCGCTTACCACTTCGGAGTTCTTAACCCGAAAACGAAAATGACACCTCACTGTGTCAACCCCCTTATGAAATATAAAGAAGCGATTAACTTGAAAGGCATAAAAGGCATTAGGATTGCTATCCATCTCGGTGACTAACGTCACACAGGAAGTCTTCTTCTTGAAGGCGCAGTTTCGAAGAAAAAGGTCTTGACAATTATAGATGTTGGAAATTTTATTTGCCGTTCGAGAAATATGTTTAATACGTTTTCTTTGATTAGACAAAATCGTGTTTATTTGTTTCTACGCTTACGTAAGAACATTGTTATCGATAAACAGCCAACCATGTATATTCATACATAATATAACATAGACAAACAGCAAACATTGTTTTTATTTGATTTATAGGGGGTCGATAAGTCAAAGAAGTTCACTTTTTTACAGGTGCATCGATAAGCCACATAATATCACTTCTTGCCACCTTTCATCACCTTTAAAGCTAAAACAGTCTGTAGGACACAATATTATTAAAGACTGGCGCATGTGTTAGGCATAAATCAATAGAGAATCTCATCATATTTAAGTTCTTTTCGATCTTTTAAGAATATTATAAAGTATAATCAATGTTCTTCGTAACTATAATAACTATAATATAATAATGTCCATCGTAGATGTGAATAGCGTAACTTAAATAAGAAGAAGAAATGCCATAAAATAGCACGTGAACGAACGCACGCTTACTTATCAACCATGGAGGAATTCCTTCCTATTTACTAAGAGTAATGCAAAAACTTTTTTAAATTAAAATATAAAAAATTTTTATTTTACGCAATGGCAACTTCTACGTTGGCAACCTATTTTTCGATTTTAGATCTTTTGAAACGTATTTCACCACTTTGCCAGACGTGTAAAAAGGCTCGAAATGGATAAATACGAAAGAAAGGCAGAAAAAAACTTGGCGAAATGGGGTACAAAGAGTTAGTGCAAGTTGGTGGGGTCATTTCGACTCAAACATGGTTTCAACATTAGAAGACAAAGAGTAGGTAATAGTTGACCGAAAATTTTATTGGCACTAAGGGGCGCGTCGACCTATTGCAATTTCGGTGAATATTTCGCAGAGCTACTCGCAGCCAATTTGTTTTTGGACTCGCTGATCATCGTATATAAGGCAAAAAGAGATGGATTACGCGTTCAAAATGTAGCTCAAAATAATTATCCCGAAGAAAGACGCAAGAAAACGAAAAATCCCCACCCAACTGGAAAATTTGCTTTAGGCTTGGCAATACTAAACATATGGCCAACTAATGGATATACAAAGAGAGTTGCTTTCAATAAATTGCAACGTTTTGAATGAAAATTTTGATAAATTTTCGTACCGTTCTGTAAAAATTTCGATAAATTGACGTTTCGTTCCGTTGGTGTAAGAAATTTCGCTAAAGACAGAGTAAAAACAGCATATTAACAAAAACATATTTTTTTAAGGATTATTGCTTTTACCGCAGGATCATGTACTTTCTTCTTAGAACGCTCTATAATATTTCATTTCAACATAGGATGGAAACTTACTAGAATGATTGTTTAGGTTGTTTAGGTACAGGCAGGTTCTACAATTCAATGGAAACTTTGAAGGTACAGACGTTGTTGTTAAATTGGTTCGTATGGATTGTAGAAGCATGTACGAGTGTCTTTTTCCCGATGATCACCTGCGGTTTACTTTATGTAGATCTAATCCCAATGGAAACCTCAAATTGAAGCTGACATTTTCTCAGACCTTAAATACTTCTCTAGTGATACTATTAGTCAACGTGAACAGAATCGTTGAATCTCTGAAGCTTTATAATTTATAAAAGGGATATGTTTATTATACAAGAAAATAAGCTTATTATTAAAAATATAGAGGAAGAGGATAGTATGCAAAAAATTTATTTGAATTTGTGTATTTTTACGAGTATTATGAGGAGAAACATAGGAGAAATCTAGATTTCATTGTTTGTCACCTGTTCGAGGATACATTCCCGCTTAATTTTGCTCCTGCATCCAACTGAACGCTTATTTTTACAAGCCCCCATAGTAACTTTTTGATTTTCAAATGGTTTACTTTGTTCATATAAATTTCTTCGTACTAAATAGCGCCTATTATTGCAATATACTTTTAGGCTGCCTTCATATTTCGACAAAACATCTATGTGGAATTGAAAGCAAGCTGCTTTTTTTGTTTTTATGCCCTACAATATTTGCGGTACATGGTTATATTAACTTTGCGCGGGTGTAGGCAACGCTCATAAGGATTTGGGATAGATGCAACTAAGCTTTTCTAGCCGTCTGTCGTGTTTTCTTGTCTTCAAACTGCAGAGCGTAATTTTTGAGATATCTTGGTGGAATTTGGTGGACTCACAAGTTTTGGCTCAAGGAAGAAAGCTATTGAAAATGGATGCATTTTCCAGGTTGCGTTTTGGTGAGAAAAAACATTATTTCAATTCAGGCATCGAGCAAAAAAAATGATTTATACCTCTCGTTGGTCTCCTTATTTTAAATGAGGTCACAAGTGCCGATGATAGGTGGCCAAAATATTTTCTGTTGGAAAACAATAAAAAAATATCGAAACTTATTCTCGATAATCGGAAGGTCAAGTTATATCAGAAAGCAGATATTCTAAAGAAATGAAGGAGAATTCCACTCGTTTAGTTCCTATGAGAAACTTCAACAAAAATATCCGCTTACTTTAAATTTATTTCGCTAAAAACAATCTGCAAGTCTGGCCGATTCTTAATGTCACGAGCTCTTTTAGTAAACTGATAACGAATAAATTGCATCTGTCTTCTAATTATTCTATAAAGCTAAACACAAAGAAATCCTCGAATACTGCTGTTTACCATAAACCCAAGCACGTCTTGAGCTTTTTGCAAATTTCTTGCAAAAAATTTAGATTGAGATATTACATACATATATATTATGAAACAAACATAAATCATCTTTATTAAAAAAGAAATGGAAACTAGGCTACAGTGAAAATTCAGAAAACCAGGAATAAAAGTCAGTTTTGCAATTATGCTACTTGATGACAAGCGTGCACGGAATGGACCGAGATTTAGAAGTTTATTGAAATTATTTATTGTATCCTGTGAAGTGAAGACTGTGGCACTCAATACTGAATAATGCAATGCTGGAATCATGTTGAAAAATCACAGGATAAAAAAAAAGTGATCATCAAATTCGTATATTCCAGAACAAGTCGTTAAAAATTAGAATAAAAAATTCGTGTCAAAATATTTTTCTTGTTCTTAGTTGTGAACCATGTTATTTCAAAAAGGGACCGTGTAAAAAAAGTGGTGCATATATTTATAAGATATATATATATATATGTAGATGAGCATAGAAAAAAATTTTCTTCGATATACTTAGTCTATGGTAATATGAGGTTAGTTAAGTTGGTATGAACAGCATTTTAATGCAGAATTGCATTGCGTTAGCCATCTTGGTCGATCCGACTCCGAAGAAAGCAGTATCGAGAATACGGCTGAAGCTATCTTACCTCTCTTCTTTCCTCATTCTTATTGAGGTATCTGGATGGTTAGAAATCATCCAGTCAACTTTATTGTTTCGCTTTAAAAGCTAAACAGTTCAAGACATATTGAGTTTGTATGCGAACCCTAAAGTAATTTGGATCGAATCGAAACGACTTTTGCATATGACAATGCAATTTAGAAGCGTTATATAGCGTTTAATGTAATAATTATTTATTTAATGGGCGGATAATTTAGTGTTGAATGCTGTTATAACCTTTTCGCTCCTAAACGATATAATAGAAATATATATTTATATGACATTTTCTTGTTGTTGATAGAATTATGAATTTTTTTTTCGATGGTTTCATTTTGATATAATAATTGAATTATAAAGCAAAGCGCAACAACAATAAGCAGATAAATAAATAAAATCTTAAAACTTTAAAGTCACTTTGCAAACAATAGTTTGACGAGTTGCTATGATATGGAAATGTCACACCGTTTTCCACATGCCGAAGAATAGTCAACAAAACAAAAAAAAAAAAAAATAGACGGGATAAAAAAAATGATTAGTAGTTGTAAAATAACTAAAAAAACAAAACAAAATTGATTTTCACATTTAGTTAATG